CTTTCATACAATATTAAACATAAAAACATTACTACAAAGTATTTAGAAATTGTGGATAGTTTTTAATTATTATAAAATCTATAACAATTAAAATTGTCCTCAGTATATGTTATATAAGTACAAAAAATTAGTATTCAAGAAACATCCATATAATCTCTGCCAAAAACACAAATAGGAAAAAAATAATAATTTTTGATCTGAGATAATATTACCAAAAATATGACTTCAGTTGAGATTTGAGTCCATAATTTCTTTAGTAATATCTAATGCTATAAATGGCTAAACTATTGAAGTATGTGTTATTCTATCTCATAAAGGGCTACTTTAGTTTTTCAATTGGAAATATTTGTTTTAATTGTTTAATTGCTAAGGTTTATATGTAACACCCAATTTTTATTTTATTCAGGATTCCTACATACCTGGAAAGTCAGGGATTTTCATTAGTGTTCAAAGAAAATCATGGAATGTCAGGGAATTTATTAAAAATTGTCAAAAAGTCAGAGAATTTTCTTCCTTGGCTGCATTGTTTATTTTTTGCTGACAATATGCTTGACTAAGTGTAGCTGTCTGCAGACAGCAAGAAGTAATGTAGTGCAATACAACTTATGAAAAGGATGCGGATTATTTTCAGGATCCAAAATTTCTCCCAAGCTTACACAAAATTTTCCCAAAAATTTACAAAATACATGAAGTACACAAAACGATAAATAGTTTAAATGGTATTATTTATCATTTTTCATTTTAATAATTTTGATTCTGTAACAAAACAATTTCTAATTTTTCTCCAGTTTATTAATATTTTATAAAGTTCAGGAAATTTATTAAAGGAGAAATTTAATGAATATATACTTTTGTACATGATTATGTAGAATTTGTTAATGAATAATAAAAAATAATTGATTTTTTTTCAAAGCCATGTAGATTTATGGTTATGGATTAATAACAGAATTTTAATAATACATTTTTATTTTAATAATTTGGCTATTATAAAAAAATATATAACTGTTAATCGAAAAAATAACCAATTAAAATGTTGGAGAAGCAAAACATATATGCATAGTAAGTCAAATGCTGTTTTATCTTGTCAATGTGCCATACTGTAAGGGACAGGAAGGTCAGGGAAAGTCATGGAAATTAAAACAAAAATTTGAGTAGGTACCCTGTCTATTGCAAGTCCAAAAAACTGGTATATATGCTCAACATCATACAATATGCATATTTTTGGGATATTTCACTTGGACATTACATTGAGAGCAGTAACATTGTCTGATGTGTCATGTGTTTTGTTATGTAGGAAATTATCATGCTTTTGAGGTTTGTTTATTATTGCACATTTATGAACTTTATGTTCATACATATTCTTGTTACATGTCTTAAAGATTAGAACTAAAAATTATATTTGAAATATTATAAACTTGTAATATGATTTTAATAAAACATATTAAAATGTAGAGAAAACTATCTTAACTTGCCTTATTACATGATAAACTAGGAATAGTTTATTGTATTGTAGATTTGAATGCTTTACTTTAAATGTTTATCATCTTAATGGAGATTTTTATTTAGCAAAACTGGAATGTATACTACAGACATTGTTGTTTATAAATATGACACATGAAAAATATCAAAACAAAAATGTATCAGTTTTCATTGATAATTAATTAACTAATATTTAAATTATATCTTTCTAGAATGATTTCATAAAATCAATAAAAGTTTTAATATTATCAAATGTTTTTCTTTTTAAAGTTGAGACAAACTTTGTCTTCAGAATTTAGCTTTAGCTAAAATTTTAAACTTTTATCACTCTTATTTTCAAAAGCAACTTGGTTTAATTTTAGATAAAAATTTAAATTATTTTTTTATTGAACAGTTTATTTAAATTATACAACATATACACCTTATTGCTGAGAATCATTTTTACTACTTTAACTAATGTTTTCAACCTGATCAACAGGCCATCATCAGGTTATGAGTTTACTGGAATGTTTACAATCGTTCTATAATCAAACCAATATGCAATAACAAATTCGAATTCAAAACAGTTCAAACATTTGGTTAAAAATCAAAATATAAAATATAAATAATATAACCAATCCATTAAATACATAAACTGAATGAATCAAAATAAATAGAGAAGAACTAAATAAAATAAAATAAAATACAAATATAATAACATAAGATATAAAATTACATCAACTGCATTCTATGCATCAGATTTTACTAGCCATTATTGATCGTATATTTCCATGCCGCTGGTAAGCCTGTGTCATCCTTGTAGTTTAAACATTTGCCAGTCAAGCTGGATATATAAATTTCAAACTTTTCCAAACTTAATGCCAGAGTTGGTGAATGCACCTGTGTAACAATTCTGGCCTCAGTCCATTCAATTACTGAGCCGTCTGTTTGTGCCATTATGGATAGTGCTGTAGAATAGTGTCCCTTGCTTACGTTGTACATGTTCTCCTTAAGCCTTTTGTTGAGATTTCTGGTGGTGACACTCACATACTCTTTGTTCAAATGTAATTGATCATTTTTATATAGTATCTTGTATACTCCAGATTGTTGTTCCTTCTTGATCATATCCTTGTCATTCCTAAGCAAGTTATAAACCGTGGGAGCCCTTTTGTATAGTAATCTTGTGTTCTTGTAATCTCAATTTTTTTCATAATATTTGACATGTTTCTGTTGCATGTGAACTTAGTCACCTTGTTTTTCATATCTTTCTTTGTTTTATTTTTTCTAGGATTAGTGTAAGAACTTATTAATCCTTCAATGACTTTTGTTCCAAACCCCAACATCCTAGCCACAGCTCTAATCCTATCTAACTCTTGCAGCCTGTCATATACATTGGAGCAATAATGGAATGCCCTCCTAACTAGAACTCTAAATGCTGAAAGCTTATAAGTATATGGATCATTGGAGGTTGAAAGGATGTATAACGGGTCGTGAGTGGGCTTGATGTATACCTTCGTGTTTAAGGAACCGTTCTTGAATGAAATGTCAATGTCTAAAAAATGCACTTCCATAGTACTAATTTGCTCCAGTTTAAGTTTTAAACCATCTTTGTTGGGATTTATTTCATTCAAAAAATGCTGTAATCTTATATCATTCCTCCATAAAATGAACACATCATTCACATATCTTTTGTATAAGATTATGTTCCCCCTAAAATTCATAATCATTATCTGTTCTAGTCTGCATAACACTAACTCACAGAGTAAGCTGGACATCGGGCTGCCCATTGGAACCCCTTTCATTTGTTTATAAATTCTGCCTTTAAAGCTGAAGAATGACNCGAGCGAAAACCGCGTAAGTCGGGGTATAATTTTGCATATAAATACATACAAATAACACAAAATAAATTGTAGCTATATGTCGAACACGTCCGAACATGTAAGCCGAACAATAGTGTGGGGGGAAATGAGTAATTAAGAGTTGCGTGGCGCTCAAAAAAAAGACGAATCGACGAGATTTGAAAATCGCGTAACTCCGGATTCGCGTAAGTCCGGGTATTACTGTACTATTGAACAAAGATATAAAGAATCTAGAAATCAGTGAGTACAAAGTATGTTTTTTTTATATCTTCAAGAGGTGTAATTATCTTTATATTCTATTTATTGAGGCAGAACATGAGTAAATCCTCTTGTGGCGTACTAATGTGTATGTGGCTTACAGAACTGTATTTGTTCTCAAAATCTGTTCAATCAATTTTGGTTAAACTTTGTCATTTTTCATTAATTACATTCAGGAATTTAAAAATGTAAAAAAAAATGGAGGTTTATGACTTCATTTTCGAGATATAAGGTTATTTAACGAATGTGCATGACAAAGCAATATCACATGACAGGCAATGTTTCATAGTTCTTCTATAGGCTTATAAATCAAGTTTATTCTCAAAATTTAATGGGCTGATTTTGATAAAACTTTGCCATTTTCCATTAATTGAGACGAGGAATCCAAAAATGTAATGAGGGTTCCTTTGAAATGTAAAAAATATGGGTCCATGATTTTGTTTTCGATATACAAAGGGATTAAAGTGACAATGTCAGGCTCTCCGATGTGACTGAGCACTTCTAACAGAATTTAGTCCTAGAGTTCAAAAATAAAATGAGCATTGTGTGCACCTAATGGAAAATAGGCATGAAAAATGAACAAGAACAAAGCAAATTGCCATCAATTGCTTTGTTCTCGGATCACATTTCCATGTTGGCAACTACAAGGATTGTCTGTCCAAACTTGGCCAGTGCAAGGATTGCCTTTCCCATGGCTGACAGGTACAAGGATAGCCTCTTTTGTGGCAGAAAGTGCAAAGTTTACCTGTCTGCAGCTGTTAGGTACAAGGATCACCTCTTCTATGCCTAACAGGTGCAGAGATAACTTCTTTCTTTTTGGCTTCACCTCAATTCTAACACAATGTGACAAAGTTATGTGATGTCTTAGTACTAAACTGTATAAATCAAAATGTTTTGATATATTTCTAATAAGAATTTTTTTTCAGTTAAAAGATATTGAACAGAAATTAATAATAGCCAAAAAGCAAAAAGAACTTTTAAGAAAATGCCCTAATTTGCCTTCTGATGAAGGTAATTTTTTTTCTAATACTTTCTGACTGTTTGTATTGTATAAATAAATTATATTTTTAATTTTGTAAAACATTAAATTTCAGATGATTGTGGAGAAAATATCAGTCATTCCACAGATGAATGTGGTGTGTATTAAGTTGAATCTTGTAAATAAATATAATACTTAATATAATACAGTAATAATTTAAACTTAAAACTAATTTTAAAATATTTTCAGATAATTTATTCAAATGTCCAACTACAAATTTGGATAGCTCTACCAAAGTTTTTTCAAAACATTCAACAAAATTGGAAGAAGCAAATAACCACATTAATCAGCTGTTATTAGTAAGAACTGTTTATTTTTTTATTTTACAGGGTTCCTTACAATGAATTCAGTGTTTTTTGTTAATTAAATGTTTTGTCTTAGATATGCATAAAGATTCTTATAAAATAAAATTTAAGTATCAAAAGAAATATATGAATAAATCTGATAAAATAAATAAAAATTCCACAAAATTAATGTTATTTTAAATACTTTATTTTAACCTGGAATAAATCCAATTCAGTTTCTATAAAAATAATGTTGTGAGAATCGGGGTTTATGCATCAAAGCCTAAACCGTTTTCCGACAACGGGGCGGTGAGTCCCGCTCACAGGGTCAGTGGATGGCAATTTAGGAGGGCGAAAATCGAGTGGGAGGTCGCGGATAAGTCGATAAGGTGTTGACAGAGTACGAGTAAACACGCATGATTAAGATATAATATAAATTTAATTAGTATATATCATATAAAAGGGTTACAAATACTAAGAATAATAATAATGTCAAAATCAAACCGATATTACAATAGTAGGTTAGTCGGATTATATCTTGGGTATTTCGACTGAGGATAGTCTCTGATCCTCTTTAATATTCTTTTCGCGGAATTAGCCCTAGTCCACCTGAGAGGAAAGAGAGAGTTCTACTTACTAAGTTGTAGTTCGTAGGATCTATCTGTGTCCGTCTTTGGTGGTCAGCGATGAGGATCGTTAATCCGTTAGTTCCTTCTAAGTTGGAGGCCACACCGATACTGGCCGGGAGCCCTCTTTATACTGATTTCAAGGGGGTGAGAACTATGACGTTATTCATGATTTATCCGCACACCTGCTAGTGTGTTGATATTTGGATCTAGCGAGTTCGGACAATTGACAGAGAAATTTGTTCAATTTATTGATATTGGTGTCAAGATGACATGATTTTATGTTATAAATTTCTGTAGGTTTGATGGCTCTCATCCATAAATTAACAATCATTTGACAATAATTTCTTTAACCTGGTCAACTATTTAGTTATTGTTTATATCAAACGTCGAGTTTGACTATGAACAAGGCGATTTATTGCCGTAACCACGTGTTACGTGCGACCAAGAGGTGATAAGAAATATCTCTTATTCCCTTCTTGTTGATACTAACGTCTAGAGAATAACTGTTAAACAAATAGAGATGATTTAACTTATTGATAGTTTAACATTCTCCTTTTTTTTTCTTTATTCGAGGAGAGCGTCTCGGTCTTTGACCGTAGAAGTCCCCCTTTTCTCTTTTACTAGAAAAATTCCTAGATCTACTGATCTAAACCAGAAAAAGGGTTTCGGACCTTCACAATGTAATATACTCTGTAAACTTCTTATTTTTCAATGAGAAAATTGTGAAACAAAATTTATAAAAATTAACATATATTGAATATTTATAAATATATTATTAGAATTAGATTTAAAAATTGAAATTATTTCAAATTTCCATATAAAACAGGGGAGTCTTGAATGAAAAAGATTGGAGAACATTGATATATACTATTCAAAACTCACTACTCACCACACCTATATATCAAACACAAACACTGAACCAATTTACGGTGTGGAACAATCAACTAATCATAAAAAACAAACGTTTTTGAACCCCTTCTGGGCTCTTCATCAGGTTTTAGCTCGTAAATTCGATTGATGAATGTTGTTCAAATAACTTCGTTCCTGCGATCGAATAGTTCTTTTAAAATTATACGTCACGAATGCCGTTAACGAAAGCCATTAACGAATGATGTTCAAATAAGTTCGTTCTTGAGTTCGTCAATCGAATTTACAAGCTAAAACCTGATGAAGAGCCCAGAAGGGGTTCAAAAACGTTTGTTTTTTATGATTAGTCGATCGTTCCACACCATAAATTGGTTCAGTGTTTGTGTTTGATATATACTATTATTAACTACATAAAAATTTTTAATTATTTAGTCTTTTATCAAAGTTTATTTATTAAGACATATATTCAATTGAATTAGTAAAAGCAAAAATGTATTATTATTTGAAATGTGCCAATAAAAACACGACATTCAAAAAATATAAAGATTAGGTGTCACATATTTTAATATTAGGCTATGAATAAAATGTTGAAATGGAATAACAACATATACATTATGTAATATAACCTTTGAAAACCATTTCTTATAAGAATCTTAATTTTATAAATAAAATTAAAGTGAACAATATATTTAAAATAGTTTTAAGTCCGGTATCCACATGAGCAATTTCAGCATGCGATTCGAATGCATTTAGCAGTTCACATATATGACCCCTAAATTGCATTGTTAGGCACAAATTAGATTAAGTTGGATGAATCAGATACAGCCAATCAGCAATGACTAAACATCATCAAGTGGTTTGACATTATTTTGTACAAAATTGTTTAGTGGATGAATGCACTAACTGAAAAATTATAGAAGTTTGCAATTTTTCTGAAATTTGTTATAAAAGGAATGGAAAGTGAAAGTTCAAAAAATGTTCTTTCACTTTACTATCTTCTGTCTACAAAGAACAACAATGTCACAAAAATGGTTGTGTCTTCCAGCTTTGATTACTCTTTTTCCTTTTCACCAGATAATGTGCAAATGAAGCAGTAAATATCAGTAGTGTGATTTACACAGAAGTTATAAGATTTCACTGCACCAAGCAAATGTGTAATCACTGATTGATACCATTAGCTAAGCAAGTGTTAAATCATTTGCCCAGCTTTTATAGGTTCTATAGATAGATTGTTACTACCAGAATTAAAGAACATGCATATGACATTCAAAAAAAGGAAGTATTCAACTTCATTGGCCCAATTTGCAAGTGAGACCAGGATGTCCCTCAGTGGGGAGAGGCAAAAACAATACAAAGAATTTATGATGTTCAAAAACTTGGAACTGCTAAGGCCATTGAAATTTATAAACAGATGCAAAAAAGGAATGTTTTAATAACAAAGTTAAATTAAATATGCTGCAAGCATTGCTTGTCATTGATTGAATTTTATGTTAATCCGTTAAAAATCTGTAATTTTGGAATATTTCTATTTTTCAGTTTTTAATTTTTTAAATATGTTTAAAAATTTTTTTAAATTTTAATCTATTTAACATAATTGAAGTATAGAATGCTCCATATTTCAAATGTTTATGTTCATTCAAATTTTTGTAAAAAGTTCATTAAAAAGCTATTTTATTGAATGTACAAGCTCATTTAAAGGGTGAAATCACTCATGTGGCTCCCAGCATTATGTAAGAGCATTGCTTATATTATGAAATTTTTATTAGCAAAAGTGTGAAAAGTTTTGAATTTTAATCTAGTGATTAATTTTTTTTTTTTTTTTTTTAGAATTCTAAGTCACCATCACCAGCATTCACAAGTTCATCGTCATCATCTCTCCATCTTCAACAAAATTCATCTTCTGCACCTCCTAGTCCAACAAAACATCGTCATAGTTTTTTACAGGAATCAAATCCATATAATACTATTTCACATTCAGCAACTTTGAGGCCAAGAAAGAATCTATCCAGAGGTGTATGTTTAAATAGTGATATTAGAGAAGCTTCAGTTATGACTCGTACACATTCTGTTTATTCTACAAGCTCTGAATATGATAATGTAAGTTGTAGTAGTGGCAGTATGCTATCCCTTCGAATGCCATATCAAAACAGGTTAGTTGGAATTGATTAAACTTTGAGTCTGTGTGCATTGTACATTTTCTCTATTATAGTTATAAGCCAGAAACTATTTAAATTACAAAAATAAATTAAAAAATAAATCATCTGCTTTCTTTTCAAAAAAGAAAAAGATTTATTTTAAAATAAATATAATTGTGGAAACATTCTAAATAGAGCAGAATATGCAGAAAATTCTCATAAGTTTATTATTTATTAATGCTTAAAAATTGCATGTGGAAAAAGTTTATAAAATTAAATTTTTTAAACTATAATACTATACATACTGAAGATATTTTTCATATAAGGATTATTAAGATATGGCTAAAAATAAACACATTTATATACTTATAGAAAGAATCTAAATTTTGAAATATTTATATGAATTAGATGCAATTTTATAGGATTATCATCTTATAATATGGCATAGTAAAAGATGCACAAATAAATAAAATATGTAAATGATTATTGTGAAACTTAAATAGTATTTGCATTTAAGTACTATGATCAGAAATGTGTTTGTTGCTGAAGAATATATATAAGCTAAACAACTATCAGATTACATCAGATAGTCATTTGGCTTATTACTAATATATCGGGTTTAGAGATGGTTGAATATATATACCATAGATTGATTTTAAGAATAATTTTTTTGATTGATATTGATGTTGGCAATACTTACTAATAGTTCTTGGAGATTGAATGCAGTTATGTGGAATGTTATATGACTTCTTAGAATATTTCACAAACATTTTGTATTTAGATCAGAAGAATTTGCTGATATTTTATTTATCGAATATTTTCACTTTCAAGATATTTCAATCATATAAACTTTATGTTGTGCTTGGGCTGCAACCCATCTTGCGTGGATAACTCTCTTGTTACTCAATTACTGGAATCTGGTTGCTGCTCACAAGACTTACTTCCCACTATCCTGTCTACTTTTCCCCCTTCCACTTCCCAAGTCTTCCTCTTTCCTATCTCCCCGATTCTCCCATTACTTCTTTTCAAAGGCTTAGCCCACAGTATGGCCTTCTACTTCTTTATTTGTATTGTGCTTTATTCATTTATAAAAATTAAATCTCTAAACAAATTGTATGTAGATTTTTCACTATTTCTTGAATATAGTTATTGAACAGTGAGTGATCTGTTTTAAGATTAGTGCATCATAAATTATTATTTCTCTCTTATTTATTAAACTACCATCTAGCTTTGTCATGATATTAGATAAACAATATCAGTATTTGGATTCTTTTTGTATCAAACTACTTCAAGAATCATTCTGAAGCTTAATCTATATATGTCAAGAAAAAGTTTTTGCATGATGATGATGAAAGGTTCCATATCAGTGTTAACAGTTTAAGTTTAAATAGGTTATTCTATGAGAGAAAGCCATTCATATTGCAGATTCTAATAATGAAATTCTTTAACCACTGTTGATCTTGAAATAATATATCCTATAAAAATGTAAAAAAAAAAAAGAGGCAAAACAATGTTTTTAAGCATGACATCTTTTTATGTTGTTTAGCAGTTAGGACTTCAATGATTATTGATTGGTATTTAATCATTGAGTGGTGATAGCAAGTTTATTGAGCTCATTTTTAACTCTTGAACAAAGATCTTCATAATATGGAAATGGTCATTAGAAGATATTAATGATCCCTGAATGCCTCCTCTAACATTCGGTTTGCATTTAGTTTATTTGTTCTCCATCATATTGATGTCTCTGAGATATGTTTGAGACACTTTTACAATCAAAATGTTGAAAGATAATTAATTCCTTACACTGTACATTGAACAGATCTTTTTCATATTTCAATAAAATTTCAATGTATGAATCATGGAATATTTCTAATAGAAGCATTGCCTCCTTATAAGTTCATTTAACACACTTTAGTGCTGCCCTTTACTAGCGCACTAAAGTATGTTTATGTACTAGCACAAATTGAAGACACTTTGGAACATGATCCGGAGAGCCTGGAGTACTACTTCAAAAAATGGCGATTGTCTCCAAGTGTCACCAAAACAGAGTGACACCACAACGTTTCCACCTGAACAATCAACTGGCAAATACAAAGCTGAATACAGCTTTGTATTTGCCAGTTGGTTGTTTCTCTCTTGGTATTTCTCAGTTGGTTGTTTCTCTCTTTCTGCAACCAATCTCTTAGATATAATATGTACCCTAAATACCTAGGAATCATCCTTGATCATACTCTGTCTTTTAAGATGCATCTAAGAAATGTTGCTGGTAAGCTTAAGAGCAGGAATAATATAATGCAGAAGCTTTGTGGAACCACATGGGGATCAACTGCTAACACCTTGAGCTGCTCAACTTTAGGACTGGTTTACTTGTCTGCTGAGTATTGTGCCCCTGTCTGGCTGAATAGCTCCCATACAAGATTGGTAGATATGCAGTTTAATGTTACAATGCGCCTGGTTTCTGGTATCATACGATCTATACCAGCATTTAGGCTACCATTATTGGCAGGAGTCAAGCCACCTGACCTGCGACGATCTAAGGCCCTTGTTCACGAGCCCATAAAGATAAGCAAAAATTCTCAGCTCCAAGTTCACCAAGACATTCCATCTTTGAGTATTAACTGTTTGAAATCTCAGAATCCAACCTTTACGGCAGCTCAAGACATGGCCACAACTGACGGTGACTACATGACATTGTGGAAAAACCGCTGGGAAACAGGAACGGGGCCCCAGTTGCATGAGCTGTTCTGTCACGGAGAAAAGGTCCAGGGATTCGACTTTGCAAAATATGAAATATATTAAAGAATGTCAGGACAGGCCAAGGCAGGTGTAGAGACTCTTCGTTCAAATGGAAGAAGGTTCCAAGCCCAGAGTGTCTGTGGTGCTCCACGTTAGACTGTTCAGCACATTGCATGTGAGTATAGACTAGACTGTGGGCTTACCCAGGAGACTGGAGTGACATACCTCCTTGTCCACCTCAGAAGGCGTAAAGTGGATAAGCAAGTTAGATATACAGATCTTTATATTTTTTTTAATATCAGAATCAATAAAACCAGAATTTACATTATTTTAATCTTATTTACTTATTCTGCTTACGTTATCATTAAGTCGTCATCATCAGTATAGACAAGTCTCAGAATGATTATAATAAGTGGAATCTGTTGTATATTATAGCATTGATACAGCTTTCATACTTTTTTATACTATTAAATTCTTATAATCTTGATAACTTGTTTACCATATAACATCAATCTTTTTTGAGTAGCATTATATTTATTTGTAATATTGACATAGTGTAATAAATATTCCTTTAGACAAAACAAATACTGAAATGAGATTTGAAAATGTGTATATATTTAGCTTTTTGTTTTAAATAACAATGAAAAATCTCATAAGAAAATTGAATCATTATTTTGAAACTTGAGTATTTGATTAGTAACATATTTAAAGGAAAGAAATTTATTCAAACTAAAAGGAAGATAAATACATATGTAGATCCTCGTAATATAACTTAAAACATATTTATCTTGTTGTACTATTTTTTAATATTTATTTCAAATTTCAGTTACTNATAAAACTTAATGTTTTTTTAATATAATTCTGATAATTATTTAGTATTTTCTTATAATTAAATTTTGTTTTAAGTTTTCTTATGTAAATATGAAAATATAAATAAAACCAAATTTTATTTGGACATAGGAAGAAGTTTTAGCAAAGTTGGAATTGGATTATGAAATTCAAAGCAAAATTACAAGTGCTGCTTTTAAATTAGCTAATGATTTAAATACTAGGAAAAGTGTTCGAAAACAAAGAAAACTTGGATACCAAAAGGCCCAAGCCAAGGTCAGTTATCAATGTTTTTTCATTTATATAATATTTGAATCATTTGTAATAAAAATAATTTTTGGATTTATAAGTAAATTTAAATAAATGTAAAATGAAAGAAAATATATTTTTTTATTGTTATACATATAAAAACAAGAACGTTAAAGAAAAAAAAGCAATAAAAGCTAAATAGGGTTTTAATAGAATTTGTCATGTGTTCTAGTTTCATTTTTAAATTCATAATGATGATGTTTTGTAGATGTGAAAATGTTTCACTATTATATTTTACTTGCTTATACATGCATTTTCTTTTATAATTTAAATGTTTATAATACCAAAAACTGCTTTTTTTTTACTATTTCATTAATTATATATGGCTAATAATGCTGTGTCAAAATTTATCATTTGTTAAACTGTTTTTGAAGATGATTTACCTCATAACATCAAATCAGTCCTTAAGAACTACAATGACCATTTGAACATAACTATGAGACTGCTTCTATCTTTTGGTTGTCCAACCAAACTGGTCCAAAACCTGACAAAAAGTATGACATTAATTACAAAATAATACAGACCTTAATAAAGAATTTACTGGATAGGATGCAAAATTTATTAAAGCAACAAGAATGGATGCTACTAGATTGTTGAGGCCATATATTATAAAAGAGAACATGGTTAAAATTGTTAGGCAAGGTGTGTGATTTTGTAAGAAATGAAAAAATTGTTCCAAAGGAAGATTAAAGAATCATGGTGTACAAAATATTAGTAGAATTGGATGGAACAAATAGTTTCAAGTGGTATATCAGGAAAGAAATGTTAGGATAAATTTTATTGAGCATACATGCAAAGTATATTGGTCATGGCTTCATGGAGCACCAGCTGAGAAACATTGTTTTAAAGCAGTGATTCTCAACCACTATGCAGCAAGATTTTTAAAATGTGCTGCCACTGCGAATACCCATACATAAGCGATGTCAGAGTAGTAGTTCAATCAGTTCTATGAGGGCATGTTTGGAAATTGTAACTAATGTTATCAGTAACTGCTGGTAGTTATCAAGGCGTTTAGAAAATGTGACCTAAGTAACCAACTGCATTTCAAAATCACTGTTATAGTGTCACCGGTTATCCTGCAGTACTTACCAAAGTAACTGTGTGTGTCGCCTAATTTTTAAATTATTAAAAGTGTACCATGATGAAAAAAAGGTTGAAAATCACTGGTTTAAAGAATTAAAATTTCTGTATTTAAAATATAAATTTATATATATAATTTAATATTTACTTAATATATATTAAGTGTATATATATATTAAGTAAATATTAAATGTAGCAGTCAAAACATTTGATATCAAATTGTATGTAGTCTTGAATAACACTTTGGGCATAGTTCACTTTTGATTATGTAAAAGATATACAGTAATACCCCGAACTTACGCGATAGGTGGGACCGAGCGATAACCACGTAAGTCGGGGTATAATTTTGCATATAAATACATACAAATAACACAAAATAAATTGTAGCTATATGTCGAACACGTCCGAACATGTAAGCCGAACAATAGTGTGGGGGGAAATGAGTAATTAAGAGTTGCGTGGCGCTCAAACAAAAGACGAATCGACGAGATTTGAAAATCGCGTAACTCCGGATTCGCGTAAGTCCGGGTATTACTGTACTATTGAACAAAGATATAAAGAATCTAGAAATCAGTGAGTACAAAGTATGTTTTTTTTATATCTTCAAGAGGTGTAATTATCTTTATATTCTATTTATTGAGGCAGAACATGAGTAAATCCTCTTGTGGCGTACTAATGTGTATGTGGCTTACAGAACTGTATTTGTTCTCAAAATCTGTTCAATCAATTTTGGTTAAACTTTGTCATTTTTCATTAATTACATTCAGGAATTTAAAAATGTAAAAAAAAATGGAGGTTTATGACTTCATTTTCGAGATATAAGGTTATTTAACGAATGTGCATGACAAAGCAATATCACATGACAGGCAATGTTTCATAGTTCTTCTATAGGCTTATAAATCAAGTTTATTCTCAAAATTTAATGGGCTGATTTTGATAAAACTTTGCCATTTTCCATTAATTGAGACGAGGAATCCAAAAATGTAATGAGGGTTCCTTTGAAATGTAAAAAATATGGGTCCATGATTTTGTTTTCGATATACAAAGGGATTAAAGTGACAATGTCAGGCTCTCCGATGTGACTGAGCACTTCTAACAGAATTTAGTCCTAGAGTTCAAAAATAAAATGAGCATTGTGTGCACCTAATGGAAAATAGGCATGAAAAATGAACAAGAACAAAGCAAATTGCCATCAATTGCTTTGTTCTCGGATCACATTTCCATGTTGGCAACTACAAGGATTGTCTGTCCAAACTTGGCCAGTGCAAGGATTGCCTTTCCCATGGCTGACAGGTACAAGGATAGCCTCTTTTGTGGCAGAAAGTGCAAAGTTTACCTGTCTGCAGCTGTTAGGTACAAGGATCACCTCTTCTATGCCTAACAGGTGCAGAGATAACTTCTTTCTTTTTGGCTTCACCTCAATTCTAACACAATGTGACAAAGTTATGTGATGTCTTAGTACTAAACTGTATAAATCAAAATGTTTTGATATATTTCTAATAAGAATTTTTTTTCAGTTAAAAGATATTGAACAGAAATTAATAATAGCCAAAAAGCAAAAAGAACTTTTAAGAAAATGCCCTAATTTGCCTTCTGATGAAGGTAATTTTTTTTCTAATACTTTCTGACTGTTTGTATTGTATAAATAAATTATATTTTTAATTTTGTAAAACATTAAATTTCAGATGATTGTGGAGAAAATATCAGTCATTCCACAGATGAATGTGGTGTGTATTAAGTTGAATCTTGTAAATAAATATAATACTTAATATAATACAGTAATAATTTAAACTTAAAACTAATTTTAAAATATTTTCAGATAATTTATTCAAATGTCCAACTACAAATTTGGATAGCTCTACCAAAGTTTTTTCAAAACATTCAACAAAATTGGAAGAAGCAAATAACCACATTAATCAGCTGTTATTAGTAAGAACTGTTTATTTTTTTATTTTACAGGGTTCCTTACAATGAATTCAGTGTTTTTTGTTAATTAAATGTTTTGTCTTAGATATGCATAAAGATTCTTATAAAATAAAATTTAAGTATCAAAAGAAATATATGAATAAATCTGATAAAATAAATAAAAATTCCACAAAATTAATGTTATTTTAAATACTNAAGCCTAGTGATTTTTTTTTTTTTTTTTTTTAGAATTCTAAGTCACCATCACCAGCATTCACAAGTTCATCGTCATCATCTCTCCATCTTCAACAAAATTCATCTTCTGCACCTCCTAGTCCAACAAAACATCGTCATAGTTTTTTACAGGAATCAAATCCATATAATACTATTTCACATTCAGCAACTTTGAGGCCAAGAAAGAATCTATCCAGAGGTGTATGTTTAAATAGTGATATTAGAGAAGCTTCAGTTATGACTCGTACACATTCTGTTTATTCTACAAGCTCTGAATATGATAATGTAAGTTGTAGTAGTGGCAGTATGCTATCCCTTCGAATGCCATATCAAAACAGGTTAGTTGGAATTGATTAAACTTTGAGTCTGTGTGCATTGTACATTTTCTCTATTATAGTTATAAGCCAGAAACTATTTAAATTACAAAAATAAATTAAAAAATAAATCATCTGCTTTCTTTTCAAAAAAGAAAAAGATTTATTTTAAAATAAATATAATTGTGGAAACATTCTAAATAGAGCAGAATATGCAGAAAATTCTCATAAGTTTATTATTTATTAATGCTTAAAAATTGCATGTGGAAAAAGTTTATAAAATTAAATTTTTTAAACTATAATACTATACATACTGAAGATATTTTTCATATAAGGATTATTAAGATATGGCTAAAAATAAACACATTTATATACTTATAGAAAGAATCTAAATTTTGAAATATTTATATGAATTAGATGCAATTTTATAGGATTATCATCTTATAATATGGCATAGTAAAAGATGCACAAATAAATAAAATATGTAAATGATTATTGTGAAACTTAAATAGTATTTGCATTTAAGTACTATGATCAGAAATGTGTTTGTTGCTGAAGAATATATATAAGCTAAACAACTATCAGATTACATCAGATAGTCATTTGGCTTATTACTAATATATCGGGTTTAGAGATGGTTGAATATATATACCATAGATTGATTTTAAGAATAATTTTTTTGATTGATATTGATGTTGGCAATACTTACTAATAGTTCTTGGAGATTGAATGCAGTTATGTGGAATGTTATATGACTTCTTAGAATATTTCACAAACATTTTGTATTTAGATCAGAAGAATTTGCTGATATTTTATTTATCGAATATTTTCACTTTCAAGATATTTCAATCATATAAACTTTATGTTGTGCTTGGGCTGCAACCCATCTTGCGTGGATAACTCTCTTGTTACTCAATTACTGGAATCTGGTTGCTGCTCACAAGACTTACTTCCCACTATCCTGTCTACTTTTCCCCCTTCCACTTCCCAAGTCTTCCTCTTTCCTATCTCCCCGATTCTCCCATTACTTCTTTTCAAAGGCTTAGCCCACAGTATGGCCTTCTACTTCTTTATTTGTATTGTGCTTTATTCATTTATAAAAATTAAATCTCTAAACAAATTGTATGTAGATTTTTCACTATTTCTTGAATATAGTTATTGAACAGTGAGTGATCTGTTTTAAGATTAGTGCATCATAAATTATTATTTCTCTCTTATTTATTAAACTACCATCTAGCTTTGTCATGATATTAGATAAACAATATCAGTATTTGGATTCTTTTTGTATCAAACTACTTCAAGAATCATTCTGAAGCTTAATCTATATATGTCAAGAAAAAGTTTTTGCATGATGATGATGAAAGGTTCCATATCAGTGTTAACAGTTTAAGTTTAAATAGGTTATTCTATGAGAGAAAGCCATTCATATTGCAGATTCTAATAATGAAATTCTTTAACCACTGTTGATCTTGAAATAATATATCCTATAAAAATGTAAAAAAAAAAAAGAGGCAAAACAATGTTTTTAAGCATGACATCTTTTTATGTTGTTTAGCAGTTAGGACTTCAATGATTATTGATTGGTATTTAATCATTGAGTGGTGATAGCAAGTTTATTGAGCTCATTTTTAACTCTTGAACAAAGATCTTCATAATATGGAAATGGTCATTAGAAGATATTAATGATCCCTGAATGCCTCCTCTAACATTCGGTTTGCATTTAGTTTATTTGTTCTCCATCATATTGATGTCTCTGAGATATGTTTGAGACACTTTTACAATCAAAATGTTGAAAGATAATTAATTCCTTACACTGTACATTGAACAGATCTTTTTCATATTTCAATAAAATTTCAATGTATGAATCATGGAATATTTCTAATAGAAGCATTGCCTCCTTATAAGTTCATTTAACACACTTTAGTGCTGCCCTTTACTAGCGCACTAAAGTATGTTTATGTACTAGCACAAATTGAAGACACTTTGGAACATGATCCGGAGAGCCTGGAGTACTACTTCAAAAAATGGCGATTGTCTCCAAGTGTCACCAAAACAGAGTGACACCACAACGTTTCCACCTGAACAATCAACTGGCAAATACAAAGCTGAATACAGCTTTGTATTTGCCAGTTGGTTGTTTCTCTCTTGGTATTTCTCAGTTGGTTGTTTCTCTCTTTCTGCAACCAATCTCTTAGATATAATATGTACCCTAAATACCTAGGAATCATCCTTGATCATACTCTGTCTTTTAAGATGCATCTAAGAAATGTTGCTGGTAAGCTTAAGAGCAGGAATAATATAATGCAGAAGCTTTGTGGAACCACATGGGGATCAACTGCTAACACCTTGAGCTGCTCAACTTTAGGACTGGTTTACTTGTCTGCTGAGTATTGTGCCCCTGTCTGGCTGAATAGCTCCCATACAAGATTGGTAGATATGCAGTTTAATGTTACAATGCGCCTGGTTTCTGGTATCATACGATCTATACCAGCATTTAGGCTACCATTATTGGCAGGAGTCAAGCCACCTGACCTGCGACGATCTAAGGCCCTTGTTCACGAGCCCATAAAGATAAGCAAAAATTCTCAGCTCCAAGTTCACCAAGACATTCCATCTTTGAGTATTAACTGTTTGAAATCTCAGAATCCAACCTTTACGGCAGCTCAAGACATGGCCACAACTGACGGTGACTACATGACATTGTGGAAAAACCGCTGGGAAACAGGAACGGGGCCCCAGTTGCATGAGCTGTTCTGTCACGGAGAAAAGGTCCAGGGATTCGACTTTGCAAAATATGAAATATATTAAAGAATGTCAGGACAGGCCAAGGCAGGTGTAGAGACTCTTCGTTCAAATGGAAGAAGGTTCCAAGCCCAGAGTGTCTGTGGTGCTCCACGTTAGACTGTTCAGCACATTGCATGTGAGTATAGACTAGACTGTGGGCTTACCCAGGAGACTGGAGTGACATACCTCCTTGTCCACCTCAGAAGGCGTAAAGTGGATAAGCAAGTTAGATATACAGATCTTTATATTTTTTTTAATATCAGAATCAATAAAACCAGAATTTACATTATTTTAATCTTATTTACTTATTCTGCTTACGTTATCATTAAGTCGTCATCATCAGTATAGACAAGTCTCAGAATGATTATAATAAGTGGAATCTGTTGTATATTATAGCATTGATACAGCTTTCATACTTTTTTATACTATTAAATTCTTATAATCTTGATAACTTGTTTACCATATAACATCAATCTTTTTTGAGTAGCATTATATTTATTTGTAATATTGACATAGTGTAATAAATATTCCTTTAGACAAAACAAATACTGAAATGAGATTTGAAAATGTGTATATATTTAGCTTTTTGTTTTAAATAACAATGAAAAATCTCATAAGAAAATTGAATCATTATTTTGAAACTTGAGTATTTGATTAGTAACATATTTAAAGGAAAGAAATTTATTCAAACTAAAAGGAAGATAAATACATATGTAGATCCTCGTAATATAACTTAAAACATATTTATCTTGTTGTACTATTTTTTAATATTTATTTCAAATTTCAGTTACTACATTATTATTATTTATATATTTAAGTTGATTTTGTTATTTGGCATGTTTCTAAAGCAACAATAACTTTAATTAATTCTTGAGAATGAATGTCAATTAAAAACAATTCAAACTTTTTTGTTCTCTTTGCATATTTTATACTAAATAAAGCATTTTTTTAAAGATTATTTGTCATAAATGTAGAGATTTTAGTATTCTTGTTAATAAAACAAATTAATTTAATGCTATCTAAACAATTAACAACTATTTTCAGATAATTCTGTACAGAGTAATAAAATAAAATAAACATAATAATTAAATGTGAATTTTTGTAATTGAAATATAACAATTAACTTATGTATTTTATTTTCTTTTTTTTTTTATTTTTTAGATTTGAAGCATCTGTAAATATTGAAGGATCAAATACATACAATGTGCCTAATAGGAGAACAAGTCAAGTATTTGAAAGTCAAGATGATTTGTTAGGGCCATTGGCAGAAAGAATTGAAAATCAAGCAATTTTACATAACAATAATTTAATGAGGAAACAAACATATTTTCCAGATCAATATTCAAGCAAGGAATCTGTATTTTATCAGAATCAGTATAGTGCTCCATTGCATAAAGATCATGAGCAACCACTTTCTAGTCCTAAACCATCATTTTGTTTGAGTCAGTATCTTTCTGGACATATAGATTCAAGGAGTCTTGAAAATTTAGACAATGCAGAGAGAAATCATACTTTGCTTAAGAACTGTCATTCTTCACAGAATCTTTTAGTTAATAATTTTAGGGAAAATGTGAAAGTTGGTTCGGTTCCAATTCATAGTGAAATTCAATATGTACAGTCCATACAATCTCATATTAGTGAACCTGAATTAAATTGTTTAATGAATTGGCAGGAAAGTAGAACAGAGAATGATTTGCCTCTTAGTTTGAAGGATAGAAAAAATAAAAATGGACCTGCATTTTTTAGTAGCAATTTAGGATTACAATATTGTAATATCAGAGATACAGATAAAGTGCCTTCAATGAAACAACACTTTAGCTCTCAATGTGATATCTACTCATCAAGTGCACTTATACAAAACCCAGTGTCTAAAACAAAAATAAAAGAATGGACTGAAACTAATTTAGATAGTCCACTTCCACTTTCTCCAAACAAACTAAAAGACACTTCAAAAGAAAATCATAGCATATTATCAAATATCAGTTTCACTATTGACTCTGATGTCAGTTTATCTCAGAAAAGTTCTGAACAAGTATCTATATCTTCTCCAAATACAGCACATGAAATATTAGATCCTGGTCCAGTTATGCAGACAACTTCAGAAGAAATAAATGTACCTTTATCTCCAAGTGTTGCCTCACATTCATTTCAATCCGGAGTTGAAGTGAATATAGTGAGTGTTGGACATTTTCAACCTTATTGGGAAGAAACAAAGCCATATGAAATGGCAGATTTTTATAAATATAGTACAAAACACAGAAAAAAACAATTGGATATTAATACACAAAATATTCAAGAACAAGATGAATTACAATTCAAACTACAAAATTGGGATGATAATATTCACTCACCCCAATCACCTGAATTAATAAATATTCCAACAGCAAATAAAGAAGTATTTCAAGAACCCACAAATTGGTCTCCAAATTTTTGCCAATTCAGAAATATACAGTCTCAGGGAACTAAAAGTGGGTAAGTAACATTTTATAGTTCAAAAAAGGAAAGTGAAATGTTCCTATTTTAAACACTAAGTATATCATAGGAGCATTTTATTTTTCAATGCTGATTAAGTTCTGATCTTAATATTTACTAAAATTTTTCCTTTCTTTCACAATTTATTACATCTTTCACAAATTAGTCTTGGCTCAATCCATTTATTAATGAAAATATGGTATTAATATTGCAGTTAAGCACATTTTGTATGCTTGTGCTTGACCATTTGGGTTGAACCATACTAGTTTCAATTTTTTTTTTTTTTACTTTTCAAAGTAATGTTTTTTTTTCTTTTGCTTTAAATACATAAATTACCATATTAGTACCATAAAAGTACAATACCTTTTACATCTAACTCCTTCATTAACAATTAAAGATTTTTCTCATGCTTCCAATATTATTCTTAATGATCATTATATCATAATTTTAAAATATTTATTTTTTTTTAAGGGACAGTAGTCATCTTCAGCAGAATTCATCAGTTGCAGATGCTTTTCGAGACGAAATGATCTCTTGGTATTCAGATCAAGAGAATGTTAAAAAAGCAACTTTAGTATAAGTATTCAAATTAACAAAGAAAATTAAAAGTATGTATTTATTTATCAAATGCTCTTTAAAAACTTTCTTTAAAATGATATTTTTATCAATAATAAATAAATGAGAAATGAGAAAACCAAAGTTCTCAAATTTTAAGAGAATCCTACTGCATTATTTTAATTTTTTGATATTATGATACATCTATTTTTGAGCACAAGGTTAATATTCAAAAGTCATTTACAATTAAAGTGTTTTTTTTTTTTTAATTTAAAAATTTTTCAAAAGAAATAAATAAAACTGCATCTTATAAGCATTGTTACATAGAATGAAAAATAAATATAATACTCATTAATGCTCCAAACTTAAAATAGCATAAAATCTGCTTTATTGGAATTAAAAAGAAAACAAATGAAACATTTACATAACAATTTGGTAAAAACAACCAAATTAAACATTTTGCAAATTTTTTAATTTCAAAATAGATACATTCTGTTTCTAACAAAATGTCCTCTATATCTATTACAATATAAAAAAATTTTTTTAAATTTGAACCTTACATATTAACCTGTCCCATATTATTCCCAAAATATCTCGGCCGTAACCTTATGACCTTGACTGGTGGACCAGAGATATCTCATTTCTGCTTACATTCTTTTAACATTAGATGTTGCTACTTGTACAGAATTCTGAAATTAATGACTCATCACAAGAATTGTTACATTACAGCAGGATATTACAATAATAGGATTAGATGTTCAGAAGAAATAAAAGGAAAGTAGACCATTAGTTAGACTCTGTTTCGACATGGCAATGGCTGGGAGAAATAGCACTCTGAATAAATCAGAAATGATCGAGTATTTGTTCTGATTTAGTTTCTGATGAGTCAAATTATCAGACAGTAATGATGAATTTGTTCAAAGTGAGAATTTGAGTGATAGTAGTAGTGATAATGATCAAAAACAAGTACAGTACAAGTGGATACAGAGGCCAACCACAGGGCCGTGCTCTGCGTTTTAGTAATGTTGGTTGGATTCGTACAAACTTTACAAGCCATCAAGTGAACAGTTACACAGGACATGAATTCAATGTAAGTTAAAAGTGATGCTACACCATTTGACTGCTTCAATGTATCTTTTGATTATGAACTTGTAGACAAGATTGTTGAAGAAATGAACAGGTATGCTGATACTTTGATGAAATGTGACAAATTATGTGAAAACAGTCACATAAAGCACTGGAAATCTACAAATCCAGAAATTAGAGAATTTTTAGGACTTATTGTGATTACAAGTATTATTAGAAAACATTGCTTAAGTATGTATTTTACAACTGAAGATGTTTTTTGTACACCATTTTTTCAAGTGTGATGTCAAGCAACTGATTTCTACTTTTATTGTCATGTTGCATTTTGACAATTTGGTCAACCTAATCAATACAGTGATAGGCTTTTCTCGAGAATTCTTGGATACCTTCAGCCATAACTTCTTCCACACTTTGTGCATTTATCAGTTAATTCTTGCCAAGCAAAGTCGATATTGCCTATGGCATCCATGATTTCATATTTTTTCTAAAATTGCACCAAACAGATATAGATTTAAGGAAAGTACTGTACTTTTCATAAATCTATGTTTGTTTGGTGGCAACAAGATGATGACATTTTAGTAAGGTGTAAATTTTTCCCTGGCAGGTATACAAACCAATATTCAATGAGGCATAGAGTCAGTTAAGTTGCTTATGTCCATTTGCATAAGATTCTACCATAAATTTTGCAACTGGTCAGCTAATTCAGCATTTGTGGTATTCTGGGAAGGCTATATTTGCCATCCTAGCATTTCTCAGATATGTTCTATTGGAAACCTGGATGGCCAGTGGAGGATATTAAATCCTCGAAGATATTGTTGAGAAAGTTGTGTAATGTGTAATATTGTGTAATTTACAAAAAGACAATGCTTTAAGCATTGTCTTTTTGTAAATGGCACTGGGCTGAGTAGCTTGACAATGTAAGCAGAACAATCAACTACAGAATGTCATTGACATACATTCAAGCTGTCAAATTGTCTTTCAGCATAATTAGAGAAAATCAGCTGTCTAAAGAGATGGCACTGTACACTGTGTGATGACCATATGCAACAACAAACTTCACAACAAATGCAAGATCTGAATGCTTGCCAGTCCTCCACACTTTTATGTGGCAGTTTTCAGCACTGAAAGAGAAGTGGGATTCATTGCTAAAGAGAATAAGCCTCCAATTTGACACGGTCCATGATGACCGAGTTTGGCACCAATGCAAGACAGTCTGCCTATGTTGAGCAATCAGTGATTAAGTATCATTACACCTTAAAGGACATTGACACCTAATCTCAGTTTCTGCCAGTTGTCCCTAAATGGTATTTCTTAATAGAAGAAGCATGCAGGATGGCAAATGCCTTCAAATGTTTGATAATAACACCATTGATGCAGACATGGTTCCTCTCCTGATTGCATGAACCTCTTGTAAAGTTCTGTCTAGAGCAGGCCTGGCCAACCCAAATTGTTTCGTCGGCCACTTTGATCACGCGTAACATTACGGTGGGCCACAATTTAGGCAAACATGCTTTTAAAAAATAAACAAATACAAAATGAATAAGATTTTATTGTTATACCAAGAATTCGTACCCACACTTGCGCATTATAACAATGACACATGCAAATTTTCATTTATTTAATTATTTTTGTTATACATATAATGGGAAACAAAAGCTTTAATAGATATATAATATCGCTTAACGAGCTACATGCGGGCCGCGGGTTGGCCAGGCCTGGTCTATAGCATCCTGAACATCTGTAATGGTTATGTTATGTGTACCTTTGCTGATCTATTGTTGGCAACATTGATTAACTACCATACCATTTAACCAAGATGGAGTTGATATGCCTGTTGGACTAAGCTAGCTTCTCTTAGGCCTAAGATGCATCCTCTCTCTAAAACATCATCACAATGCCGGGCTGCAATTTTTAATCATATTTTTTATTTTTCATTTAAAATATAGGCTCTCTACCTCAAGTTAGTACTGTAATGTCTTGCCCCTGTACATCATACTTTTCTGTTAGCAGTGGAGTTGTGTCAATCATCTATTAACTGCTTTCAGGGGAAAAGTTTTGAATTGAAATAACATGACTTCTGGTTTGTATCAGAAGTTCATAATAGTTAATCAGGATCTCCTGCCCCTAAGATTTCCATATCTGGTTTTGGCTTTCATCTATCTAACTGTGTTCTTCAGATTAAGGAAAGACGGACAGATGGACGACAATGGGATCTACAATTTTTTCAAATTGCAGCCCAGTCAGACAATTGTTTGTAGTGCTGTTGCATATATCTCAAAGACATCTTTGTGCACAACTTGCAGTATCAAAGCAGAAAATCCAGTTGAAATTGCCCATGACCGAGAACATGGGTCCTTTTAAATGCTGCACAATACATTGTTCTCATTCATGTCGAATGAGCCCTGTAACATCATTGGCACTGAAAGTTTGATCATTTGCATGTCAAGTTTTGTGACTGTAGCTCAATTTTTTATGGGTGCATACAATGGCGTAGCTAGCATGGGTGGCACCTGGTGCGGATATCGTGGTATCACCCCAAGAATGAAAACTGTTAAAATTAATAAAAATCCAATAAACATAAAGTATGATTTTATTTAATTAATACAAATAAGAGTATTAATTATCAAGTTACAATATTATGATAATAATAGTACAGTTTTATTAAACATTCTTTTACATTGATGTATGAAAGTGAAAGTTGGATATGGCAAAAGAAGAATGAGAGTAAATTAATATACTCTCATATACATATTATGTACAAACACTTGTAATGTATAAGTTTAGATTTACGAAATAAATTACAAATAAATCATAACCATACATCAGTACTCCCACCTATAAAAATTCGCAAAGCTGTAGTGATTGCGTAACTGCCACTTGTAAACATTTTAATCTGAAGTAATTATTTATTTTGTAGTTTATGTGAATTTTTAAATTATCACAATTAATAAATTAAATTATTTAATATAGATAACTTGGTTAAAATGGCTTCAAGCCTAAGTGATTTATCATTGAAAAACATTGTGATGGTTGTTTAAGTTTTTATTTTTTTCACGGTTGGGTGACACCCAGTGCGGTGGCCCCCGTAGCTATGCCACTGGGTGCATATATGGGTATATATTTTATAAGTTCAAATTTGCAAAAATATTTTGATACTCTGGTAGAAATGGAAAGTATAATGTGCTTTGAAATTTGAATTGCTCCAGAATTTTTAATTTGGTTATTTTGAAGTTTTATATAAAATTTTTATTTTTTGGTGAACTTATTCTCTGATAATGGACTGGAGCACTTGGAAAATAATGTTCATTTGGTTTTTAACTCCAATAAAGCAGATTTTGTGTGTAAAACTTAAAGTTTAATGTCTAATTACAGGTATACCTCGCCTTACGTCGGTAATTGGTTCCAGGAGAATGACTTAAGTCGAATTTACTTGTCTCCGAATCTACTTGCCACTAAGCTAAACCATAAATTACCAATCCCCGTTCTGTATTTTATTTATTAATGCATTTTTAATAATATATGGTTACAAACAAATAAATTTTAGTTTTTAATATAGTACAGAAAAAAGTAATTTAAATTACGAATGCATATACTGTAAATACAGTATATACTTGTAAATGTATATATTTTAATATGATTTTACTTGCTTTAAACGCTTTTCTAGTGATATTACGACTTCAATATTTGTGGCAGACAGACGTAAAGTCGAATAAAATGACTTAAACTTGATTTTTATTTTTCCATATACTTTTTTGACAAACAACGTATAATCGGGAACGACGTAACTCAAAATGACGTAAGTCAAGGTATACCTGTATTGATAAAACAACAAATATGAAAAGCTCAGTTTTTATTCTTAAAAGATAATGAAGTTGGAAATATTTATGTTCAAATACTAGTGATTTATAGAACTCAATTTTAAAAAGTTTATATTTAAAATAAAATAAATAAGTTGAAATATTTTGATGAGATGAGTTAAGGTTGAAGTGAAAGTTGATTTTACTGGAAATCACAGAATTACATTATGAAAAATTTAGTATTTTAATTCAACATCACATAGTAAATTATAACAAATACTTTATGTAATTGTCCTTTGTAGCCAAATCTGTGAAAGATTGATAACAGTACACTATTATTTGACAAACATTTTTAAAGTTAATTATTAAAAACTAAAAATCATAATAAATATAATAAACTTATTTTTTTTTTTTGGCTTGAGTTTTATAATTCCTATAGAATTTGAAAGTGAAGTATAATGGCTTTAAAAAAATTTGTAGAGAATAAAAATTGAAATTTTAATAGTTGCATTTTTTACAATGTACACACACCACAGAAATTTTTGCAACACCTATGAGCTTGTTTTCAATGAACAACTGAGCACAAAGCATTTTATGAAGGGAGATTGTCATTAATATCTGCTATTAAGAAGACAATATGCAAAATAGAAGTCATTACAAATTGGTTGTGTGAAAATTTGCTAACATTAGTGGTATTGTCCTGTCAGTTGGTTGAACTCAAGATTATTGTTGGAAACAACATTCTATATTTCATTTTCAAAGTTGCCATTACTAAATGTTAGAGGCTGGACCAACACTACTTAGATAAACTGACTGACAGCATGCCATGAAGGATTAAATCATTGAGAAACACTGGGGGTGGTGTAACAGAATATTGAAACCATTGTTTCAATAATAATTGTAAACACTGTCATCATTGGTCTAAATGCCCCATTTTGAGATAGTCTTGTTTTTGTGGCAGTAAAGTCTGCTAATTGTCACTACATAAGGTGCTTCTTTCAAAATATGATGTTATTTTATTGTTTTTCAAAATTACTGTGGTGCAGAACTTTTTGTGATGTGTCTATTTATATGTATTCAATTTAATAATAATGATTATTTTGGAAATACTGTATATTTGGTTCTACTTATTTGTTTTTTGTTACTTTATTTATGATAACATTAGAGTATTTCTGTAGAAATGCCAATAGAATAAACATTAATTTTTGTTCATTGTTTTAAGATTTTGTTAAATTTGAAAATAATATTTATGATTAATCTGTGAAAATAAGCTGATGTTTAAAAGTATTAAGATGTATTTTCATTTTTTAACGTTATTAATTTTTTAATACTACATTTATAGGTTTATTAGACATATTGCTGAAGATAGCCTTATTACAACTTATGTATAGCACAAAAATATCTCAAGATGTTTCATGTTTTGCATTATGTACAAATGTATTTATTAAGTTCAAAATAATGTGTATAATACTGTTTATATTATATATGTTTCATATATATACTTGTTATTTTGATAAAAGTACATAAAAATGATCATTTTGTATGAAAAAATTATTTAACAACTACATATACTGAAATTCTGTAATATAAAATCAGAATTAAAACTGTATATAAATAAAAATAACTAAATATTTTATTTTTATGGTGGTTATTTTTGATGATATTTTGCCATCACCAGTAATGAAGAGATTTGTTTTATACAAATGTTTGGGAGATTGACAGGACCAGGATTTACTGGACACACATTCTGCATTGCAGGTTTTGTTTGCTTAGAACAGTGTTTTAAATATAACTGTCTTATATTTTTCAATATTTGGCAGATTTCTAAATATTAAATAATACGTGATTAAGACGTGAAATTTGGCATGGTAACTTCTGTATAAAAGATATTGATGCTATTAAATTTTAGAGTAAGGAATCCAATGGATGAGGAAACAGAGGGAGTCGTATATCATCTCAAGTGGGGTCGGACTTAAAATTTTACTTGTTATTGGAATTTACAATATTTTAAAAACTCGCTGCTACCCTCATCGCATACATTTTAAGCCTTATAAAGCTATTATTTTGCTAGTACAGTATAATTGAAAATTATCGGACTTTCTAGTCCCCTTAACCTCCTGTTCGAGTGTCGGGAAAGTTGAACAAGAGCTCAAAGATGGCGGCCGGTTCGGGGTCTAGTAGTTATGTCTTTGGGATGGCCCAAACGGAATCCATCCTTATAAATCAATTAATTCAGCTGAATATCAGCTGGTTTCTTTGGAACTGCATGAAACAAAGGTTTTACAATAAGATGGAAGAGCAAAGTCTGCTCAATAATAATTTTTTAAAGTAATTCATATAATTATTATCATATGATAAAAAAGTAAATTTAAATCTTGTCATTGAGTCCTGTCATTTTTTGGCAGCCTAAGAATATCACTAAGTACTGTATATTTAGAGAAGGTACAGTATTAGCAGTGGAAGAGCGGCCGGATGGCCGAGCAATCAAGGTGGCAGCCTACCGTTCTGGGGGACCCGGGCTTGAATACGAAAGGGTCGAAAATTCCCCAGGAATTTTTCGGGGGGTGGTCTGTTCGGTTATGTCGGGCCCCGTCCCTCACCACCCGGCAGCCCCATTGTGCGCCTGGCCGAACCCATAATGGGCTTGCAAAAAGTGGCCCTCTTAGTGCCCACAGGGCGGAAAGAGTTTTAAAAAAAAAAAAAAATGGAAGTTCAGCGAAAATGAACGTATGGCGACTAGCAAAATCGCTTACTTCATATGAAGAAGCATTACTGTTCCTTCATTACAATGTGCCATTCTTGAATCATGATTACATTGAATTATACATTAAAATTTGTGTAAATAGGAATTTCTGTATGGAATATTTTTCCGTTTTGAACAAATTTGAGTGTTCTTTTTTTTATCTTTACACCAGCCAAATGTCACACAGTTATGTTCGTTTTTCTATAGTAAAATAACTATTATGTAAAATTGTATTCCTAGGCTTAATCTGAAGCGATTGCAACTGAAGATGGGCTTATTTGAATGCAAAAAATTCTCGTTGTGTCACAAAAACTTGGGGACCTATTCTGAGCTTTTCCGATAACTGAACACGGGACATTCGATAAGTCCCCTTAGCGAAAGGCAGTTATCGAACCTTACACAAATCGCTATTCTGTGCTTCCTGTTAATTGGGTTTCGCTACGGTCGACATGCGTCTGGGTTCCACGCTATCGAAAGCTATTACGATTTAACCAATCATAATTTAGTTAACATTGTATTTTTGTCACGTGATTGCAACTTAGCGAAGCACATGGTTTTAGCATTGTCGTGTACCAGGCGCTAGTGAAATAGTTTTGTTCCAAAATGTCGAAGGACAACGAAGCAGCGAACTACAAGTCGTCAGTTCGAGATACTCGTTAATTTTATGGAAGACAACCCTAAATTAATGTCAGGGAAATTAGATGCTACCTTTACCGTAAAAGATCGCCAGAAATTGTGGCAAGAAATATCCGACCGTCTGAATACCAATAGAGTCGGCTCACAAAAAGATCCAGAAAGATGACGAAAAGCAACTGATAAAAGTATATTTATATTCAAAACATTTTAATTTATACATATGCGAATGAAACCTATTTCAGAAATAATGTTCATACTTCACTTTAAATTTTAACAAGAAAGCAATTACATTATTCATACAATATTCATAAATAGTTAAGGTAATTATTTTTAATGAATACAACAACATAGTCTATTAACTCTCTCTCTCCAATTGCTCGTGAAGTAAAATCATTTTTAAACGAAAGATGCCATATTGTTTTCACTTTCGTTACGTTCCTAACGGCAGCTCGAGAGTGACCGATAACAAAAGATTAGTTATCGCACGTGGCTATCGGAACCGAAAACGAAACGTACGGCTCGGAATAGCATTTTCACAGTTGATTAAACGCGAATCACGTGGATCCGATAGAAACAAGCTTTTATCGTATTCGTTATCTAACGATACTATTCAGAATAGATCCCCTGGTCTAAATATTCGAATACTCTCTCGGATTGGGATTAATATGGAGGTTATTGCGTAGGCGCTTATCCTCCGAAGCGTTTTACTTGACCATACGAAATTACTCGCGAAAAACCGGGGAAATGCCTTCCGGGAGGTCTTAAGGATAACTGACCCTATTTAGGCGTTAGAGAGGTGGAGAAAACTCCACGTGGCCAGCCTGTCCTGGCGAGGCGTAAATCTATGACCGAACTACCAGTTTTCGAAGAACGAAACTGCTTGGCCAGTGGTGGATACCACTTTTATAGTTATGAGTAGTTAATATCTGTTAATTAAAAAAACCTAAAAGAAGATAGTGGATGTGATCACCTTTGTTGGAAACACACGCAACATCGATTTATGCTAAGAATAAGATCATCTATGGCAGTTTGGGATGCCTGTCTATTCACGGAGCAGACATGTTCTTAACTCGTAAAGGTTTCGGAGAGGGTCATGGAGAGAAGCTAATTGTCTCCCAAGCATGTCCCATACATGCTCGATGGGATTCAAGTTGGGTGATCTCGCTGGCCATTCCGTACGAACGGGAATGGACTGATAGGGCTTAAGCCCTTGGCCCCCAAGTGTCAAGAGTCCAAAAAAATTGAATTATTATTATAAATTTTTAATACTTTTTCATTAACAACGAGCACTTATCGTATAGTTAATATTAATGATAATTTATAGTATTATTATTATTATTATATTTGTTTTATTGTAATCAATGTAACGTAATTGGTCAGGTCACCAAATTGCAATTTTAAATCCACCATCTTGAATTCGAATGCTATAAGGAAACATAATAATGGCCAGCCTGTCTTATAAGACAATGGCAATGCACCTCTTTGCAAGGAGAAAAAAGAAAAAAGGAAAGAGAGAAAAAGCTGCAGAAAGGGTAACATTACTTAGTGTAAGGGGTATCCCAGGATTGAATTCTGAGGCATTCCGTTCATGGCTCAAGAGTCCAATAATCCGGATTCTGCAGATGCGACTGCATTTGACATGTTTTCATGGTATATTTATTTTATTTTATTAAAAATTTTGTTTGTTTATACGTTTTTGTTAATAATAATTCTTATGTTTTTTTTAATATAAGATATAAAGTTTGTCATTCAACGCTATTTCATAAACACACTGCATTTTAACTTTGATCATGATGTTATTAAAAATGAATTTTAAACATTCTTTAATCTAACAAAAAATGCGGACCCATTGGACTTCAATAAGCCTTAGGCCCCGATAAACCCAGATCAGCCCCTACATAAGAAGCAGCGTATCCGAGTCTAACTATTGGCTAACAATGCGAGCTTTGTGAACTCGCGCGATATCGTCCATAAAAGTGGCATGAGGGCCCATGGCCACAAGAAATGGGCAAAAATATTATACAAAGATGTCATCTCTATATCGGACTGCAGTCTCATTGCCGCGAGGAAAGATGTGGAGATCGGTGCGGCTACCAACAGCAATAACTGCCACTGTATACGTGCATTTCGCGGATGTTACTATCGTGATAGCGAGATCTAGGCGTTCTCCAGAGCAATAACCGTCTGGAATCAGTTTGTAGACCAGTTGTAAAAATGGAATTCTGTAGGTAATTTTTAAAATGGAAATTGCACCAATGTTCTTTTAAAATTTTTATTCAAGTTTTAGGAATTTTTAACTGGTTTACAATACACAGTGGCGTTCAGTTTTATCATTGTAAATGTATTATTGACATACATAACCATTGTAGAAAACTTATATCAGCCAACAGATGAGAAGCGCTAGCCCAAAACGTGTATTGGCATTTGGAACAATTGGTTTACACACTGCAAAGTATCAATACAGCAGAAAATAAAGTGGATGTGAAAAAGTCCAGTGTCTAGTGTCAACACTTCATGGCGTCTCAAAATTTAATTTAACGAAGGACACGGTTTCAACACAGAAGAATTAAAATTATTAAAAACAAAAGTTTGCACAAAAGCAGTCCATTTTCTATTGATGACTTCACGAGTCAGCAAAATGGTCTTATCATGTGGTTGATGGTGCTTCGAGACGCCCTATTGACTCCCATCGGCTGCTGATACTCAGATGATGTCATCTACTAATTTTTCAAATTTGGATATCTCGAATTTCCTTCTGGGGTCAGTAAAACGGAGATACAGGCTCTGCACAAAACAGGTTGTTTTCATATCTGCCAAGTTTCCTTGTTAAAAAAGTTGATATGTAAAATTTTTTGCGCCTTCATATGTTTGTCATGTGTAGAAAATTTTTCGGCTACTTGTTTCTTTCGCCAAATAAGCAACAAAGTGAAAAATTAACATAACTTTTGGACATGAGTGTAGTTAAATATTATTATTGATGTGGCTACATAAAAAACACCTATTGTATATATTCAATGCAAATGATAAATCCTTCCAACCTTTCCATGGCTATACGAAAAGAGAAAGTAAAACCTGTGTAAACCGGAATCGCACGGTACCGAATATTTTTTATTTTTTCGGTTTGGCGAGTTTCCGTTTTAAATAGGTTATTTTTTAACTAGAAAATCGCTCCGTTCCGAAAAAATTTTTGGGCTGCAATCTGAGAAAAGTGTAATCCTGAAAATTTCCACTATCGTCCGTCTGTTATCTTTCCTTAATCTTGAGAACAGAGTTAGTTAGATGAGCTATGAAAACCTTAAGGTCGGGAGGCCCGATTAACCATATACGAACTTCCGATGCAAACCGGAAATCATGTTATGTCAATTCAAAAATTTATCAAAATGTTCCACAAAACTTATAAGTCGCTTGAAACTTTTGAACTTAGATTTTCTGGAAAAGTTTTGAGAAGCGCGCTTTCTCCTTGTTCAATAAAAGTTCATACCACGGCTTAGCCACACAATTATTATTGAAATCTTCAGGACAACGTCGTAACCTCCCCTTGACAGACGAATTAACTGCTACTTAAGGATTAACACTCAAATTTCTAAACTTGAAATTGCACGTGTTTTGAACTTCATCCATAGCAAGAATTTAACACGCCGAAGAATTATAATCCCTATTTTTAAAGTTTTCATAACTCTACTGAAATCACACTATTTCCACTTGATTCATTTTCGAACTAATTTAAATTCATATTTAAATCGATAGCAGTATAAAAAAGTAGATCAATTTTAGATATGCCCGTATTTAAATAACTATATTTTACAACGAATGATTGTCCATTCAATTTACAGACAGGTATCAATGTTTTCCTCCTACGTCATACCACAAAGACAATCTATAACAGATGTTTTGTACATTCATTTTGAATTTATCATCACATTACAAATTTATTTTCCCCTCAGTCTTTGTAGCTAATTCTGTTGTTCTAGCATTAAAAAACCGTCCATTACTTCAGCTTTTGATTTGATATGAAACTGGAATTCCCAAAATTATTTGTACACATTGAGTATACTGTATAACTGATATTCTGTACATTTCTCTGGCCAGAAAACAGCGTAAATAACCCAATTGTTAGCAATATATTCGACTTCAAACTTTTTGTAATTTTTAATACAGTACTATCAATTTCTTGGAATGAGCACTTAAGTATTTCAAAATTTTGACATGTGTAAATTACTGTTGGCTCATATTATGGGTATAATATTTTAATGTTTCAGATTAAACTTAACGACAGTTAAATGTAAATCACTCCTTATTTGTAATAATTTTTAATAGTCAAATAGGATAAATATGGTAGGATTGTAGGACGATTTTGTTCACCCACTTTAAAACTTAACTTCTGTGCCGTTTGTCAAATATTTCTGAAATTTTGCAGAGGTTTGTGAATTAGGGGATTGATGGTTAAAGTTTGAAAGGGGGTCCTGTGTGATATCTCGAGTAAGATCGAACTTAATGAAGATTTTACTCGTTATTAGCATTTATAAATTTTTATAAAACTCATCTCTACCCACAAAATTATATTATTATAAAATGGCAAAAATCTTAGAGTTTAATAACAGATGGTGCCATCTAGGGTTTCTCATTTCCCGGTCTTTTGCTTGTCCCGGGATCCCGGGATAAAAGTGAACTGTTTCCCGGGATCCCGGGAAATCCCGGGATAGAATTAATTATTTTTAAGGTATACAAAATATCTTGAAATCAAATGATATAATTATTTTCCATTTTTTAAAGTAATTTTAAAGTTCTGTAACCTCCAAAATCATATTAATAATGCTGTGTAAGGTCTATAGGCCTATAATAAAAATTACCTTTAAATAACGTAGAAATTTTCACAAATAGAAAAAAATTAATTAAAGTTTGCTGGAAACTGCATACAACAACAACAAAAAAAATGTTTTGAATTGAGTTAAAAATTAAAAAAATGAACTTCTAATTTAGAAGGTAATTTTCGTTTTTTAAATAAAATATAATACAAAATATTGCAAACTTTTATAAGATTTTAAAAAGCAAAGATGGTCAATACTCCGATAACTCACTCTAATTCTTATTTTAGTAATGAAAAGTCTTGCCACCGAGAATGCCCTTTCCGATTCAATTGATGTGATTGGAATAGTGTTTAATGCATTTAAGAGAAGACAGATATTATGTGTTTTTTCACCTGTAGCCTGGAAGATTTCGAGTTCGTTTTCGAGATTGTAGTACTTCTTTCGCTCTCTAGTATTCTTGATTTGTCTACCTTGGCTGCTTTAATAGCGGCATCAAGCTTAGAGCTCGATAATTCGGCAATTCATTTGGCTTTAATAATCAGGTTTATGAAGAAAAACTTCATACTTGCAGACTTTGTACTCGTTTGTATCCTTGCCCAATTTGCACAATCTGGCGTCAGGCATTTATTGAAGCTACTGGGCATGGTTAAAACTCAAGACAGCGTAAGCACAATTATTCCAGATATTACAGGTTCCGACAAGTAAAGAATTTTTATAGTCCTGCCACAAATAAGCTATATATTGATTATTGACCATTTGTGACATGCTATAACGAGCAAAAATTTAAAAAAAACTAATAGGTAGGTTTAAAATTAATAAATACAAATGTATTCTGACAGTGAATGAGTTAATTATGCTTTCTATTTGCAAAATTCCTCAACCTTAACACAAAATAAGAAAAAAAGTGAATTTTTAAGAAATTTGCGGGATTTCCCGGGATAAGAAAAATTTCCCGGGATATTTCCCGGGTTAAAAAAACAACCGGGATCCCGGGATCCCGTTTGAGAAACCCTAGTGCCATCACAATTCTAAATTTTTGTCGGGAAAGTTACACAACTGATCTATGAAAAACTTTAACTTATATTTAAAAACGCAGCAGAGAAGATATATGATACATTCATTACCAAATTTTGAGAGAAAAAATTAATCACATTCATCTTTATTTCTCTACAACAATATATAGCAGAGACCGATTGTCAGTACAATGTAATTCACAAGCATTACAGACAATGCAGTCTTGCAACTGTAGCTCTCACTGAAACAAAGCAATATTTTTAAACAAAATTCACAGAAAAAATAAATTATATAGTACTGTACTTCAAAATAAATCATCTTATTCAGAAATCTTAGGATATATAATTAATTAATTGAAAAGTATATATATATAATGTTATAAATGAATAATAAATAAATAGACTAGAATAGTAAAAGATGTATACATATAAATCACAGTTTTGTAAAATGAAAAACAATTACAATATATTATTGAGTTTACAAGGAATAAATCTGAATATATTTTAAAAAGCATGAATTTATATAACACACAATTTTTACTCAATAATTATTGAATTTTTTAAAATTTTCTAGTTATTTGTAAAATTTCTTAAAATTTTAATTATATATATAACTATATATTAAACTTCTATATTAAAAAGTAACTTTACCACATTGATTTTACATTTTTTACTACTAACAAACAACATAAAAGTTATAAATTTATTATAATAACTCTCGTATATATTCTGGTACAACAATGTTTTTTGTTTGGGGAATAAAAAAAAGTCTGATAGAAAAGAAATAATTATATATAAAATATCCAATTGGCATTTTCTGTATCTCTATATTGTTCTTTCGCTTGGAATAATTCTTTCATTACGTTATAAAAATTACATAAAATGAAATTTTAAATATCCATGACTATATATTTGATGTATAAACTTAAATGTATACATAATAATAATAATAATATTACATGTAAATTGAGTTAAAGTTTCAAGAATCTAAATATTTATATATATTTATATATATATATGAAATATTCACACATCACAATACTCACTATTGGATGCTAACAATTAGATTTAAAAAAAGTTTTAGCTTTTTTTTTAAATACTAATGTAATATTTAAAGCTATTGAATAAGGGAAAGATGTTCTTATTCAAATTAAACAATTACTGAATATACCAAAGAGATGGAGTTAATGTTTACAATGCTAATTACCTCTTCTAATAAATAGTTTACTTTGTATGGCATTTTCAAAATTACATTTTTATAATCAAAAAAGTGATCCCATGTGATACCAACTTCATTTTATAAAATAAACAACTCAGATTATAATAATAATCATTACTTAGTTTAAAAAAAAACTTACGGTTGTGAAAATAGTAAATATTGAATTATAAAATATATAAATTGAAATCTTATACTTTTTCTGCAGTGTGAAAGGTTTTGGGTTTGTTTTCCGGAGTGTTTTGTATCTGTTTGTAATTCAGATCAATTATTAGCTGTGGAATGCGGCATTCTTCCATATCTACAAAATCACAAATTACGACATTTAGGCCGTTTAATCCAGAAACCTTGTCTTTCAACCATTCTGTTATCAGATTGTTACTCTCCAAGCCAAGAACACTCTTTAGTGTTCCCAGCAGGTGACAAAATATAAATGTCAGAGTTGGTGTGAGAACCCCTTGTGTAACATAAAATTTATCAGGTGGTCTGCCATTTTGGTAATTTTTGGACAGAAAGCTAAGAAGGGCTTTGGGATTAACTGTATTTCCCCAAGGATTTGGTATATAATCTGTTGGCCAAAGGAAAGGATGGTATTTTGCAATTGGATTACGATAGAACAAGAGAATACGGAAATTTCTTTGCCACAACCAAGAGAGAGTTAATTTCTCGATGTCGGTAACAAATGGGCATACTAGTGATCCAAATGTTTCCGTCAATAAATTTAAGAGAGAATGGTGATCTTCTTGGGACATATTATAAAAATGCTGAAAATCAAGCAATACTATCTCTTTGGTGTGACTTTGGAGAAATTTCTGAATTTCCCTAAGTATATCAACTACTAATGCTCCATACAAACCATGAACAACATATAGGTCTTTACTATCTGACATGGATGCTATCCGTAAATCAAAATAACGAACGCCGCATTCTAATTGCTGAGTACAACTTAGGCTCTGAGTTTTACTCCACTTGTATATAATTCGTTTGGACACACATCCAAGGAGATGGATGAGGATGGAATTTTGCAGTAAGGGTTCATCTGGAGCAATTTCTGAATTAGAATTGATGGAATAGCTACAGGAATCATGTGAACCTGAAAGAAAAAATTAAGAATTTAAATATTATTTTTTTAGAATAAATTAGTTTTAAAAAACTTTTACATTTTAAATAGTTGTGAATGTGTCATTAGAATATGTAATGGGAGAAAGTTAGAATAAAATAAAAATTTCTGTATACATCTGAAATATTGCCACAGATTACATTACGTTAATGCAATAGCCTATTTAAAAACAGTTTAACATTAAAATGCATTTAGCAATTAATAAATATTTATGCACAAAACTACATTAATCTCAAACATATTACATGAATTTAAAATAATACTAATGCATTTTTTGTATAAGTAACAAATATATATATTTACTTATGGTATGATTTTTTTATATATTTCTTTTAAAAAAATCAATTTTTTAAACAATCTTAAAAAAATTAAAAACTTCAAGTGTTAATATCGAATACCACTGTTGTTTTCTATCTATAACCACATTTTATTACAGACAAAAACTACTAATGATTACAATTGTTAGTCTTTATTACACAATGCATTTCGGGTGCAAAATTTTTACACTTGCACCCCTCTTCAGATAATACATATCTACAATTGGTAAACATATAGATGTTACAAAAATTATTACAGCATTCAAATGATTTATATTATACTGAACTAATCTCTGATGTTAAAATGTACAGTGCTCCGCTATATCAATGTCCTACCCTCAAGGCATCGTTCTAACAGCCTTTTGTCTATTTAAATGTTATTTTGCCCTTACCATTTCTGCCCACATGTCATCTATCTCCATCCCATTATTTTTTCTCTCTAATAAAATGCAGTTATAGATAGAAAATGACGGTAGTATTCAGTATTGACCCTTGAAGTTTTTTAATTTTTTAAGATGATTTTTTTTTAAAATTGATTTTTTTAAAGAAATACTAATGCATTTATGAATATTTGAAATAATCTAATAACAAAAATATTAGGCCTGTTACTTGATATTTTTATGTAAATAAATTTATTCAAAATCAGGTGGCATGCTGCATTGAAATATTACAATTGACATGTGCATTCCTGATCTAGATTTTAGTCTTGATTATATAAGTTTAAGCTAGCATTTATACTTTATCATCAAACTTTTATAATGTATTTTTAGATTTATTCTTATGTTTAATAAATATTGATAACTTGCAATTCAAAAATATCAGTTTGCTCTATAAACATCACCTAAAATTGATAAACAAAAGAATGTACAGTACATTATAATTAAAACAAGCAATTATTTATTGTGACATCACAAAGCTAAGCTGCAATTTTTAATCATATTTTTAATTTAATTCAATATATATACTCTCCACCTCAAATTAGTAATGGCTTGCACCTATACATCATACTTTTCCTTTAACAATAGAGTCGTGCCGATCATATAGCTAACTTCTTTCAGGAGAAAAGTTTTGAATTGAAATAACATGACTTTCAGTTTGCATCAGAAGTTTTTATATTATTAATCAGGCTCTCCTGTCCCTAAGGTTTCCATATTTGGTCTCATCTTTCATCTAACTTCGCTCTCGATTTTAAGGAAAGACAGACGACAAACGGCTGACAGTGGGAATTTATAGGTCTACAATTTTTTCAAATTTTAGCCCAATTAAAAACAAAATTATTTATTATTTTAGTTTGAATATTTAGAAGGTGGAATAGATTAATTATAATTAAATTAATAAGAATGCAATTTTAGTAATATCAAGTGAAAAGTAACCTTACATAAACACTATATTATATATGTATAGAAGATAGGGTAAAACAGAATTATTATGTTAAATGTTACACAGATTCTTGACAAATAAACTGAAGAGCAGCAAGATCAGAAATGCAATTCTATAATTAATCATCCAATACACTAAAAAGTCAGGAATAAAGAAAATTTTTATTTTTGTACAGCAAAATTAAAAACAGCCAAACATCTAAAAGCCAGATTATTTTCAAGATCAAATTCTGCTAAATTTTAATTAAATTAAATTACAGAATTTAGCCTAAAGGCTATAACTAATAATTAGAAATTAGTTTTAACACAGGACAGTAGATTAAACTACCTTTATCTCAAATTCTATATTATAATTAATTAGTAACTAGTTTAATTCTATCCACAACATAATCAAGCTTTTAAATAATATGATTTTTAATAGTCAAACTTGAGTTAATGCATGTTTACATAAATTTTAAAATTTCATACACTAATTAAATTTAATAACCAACACAGAATCAATCTTATTCCATTAAAATATTTTTATATTTTAGAAAAATTGCTGTCAATAACAATTTATTACAAGTTATTTTTCTAATATAAAATATCTTTTTGATTTACTTATAGGAGCAAAATTATCAAGAAAAACTAAAATATATTATTATTTCTTCAAATATATTTGAATTTTAAATCAATTAAACTCAAAAATATATTCACAAATTACATATTTAAAAAAGTTGCATTATAATTTTGCAAATGCATTAAGAGAAAATAATTTTGTTAATAATTTAAGTTTTCTCATTAATTTTTTCTAATTATAAAAATTACTATTTTTGGAAATGTGTGCTAAAACATAGGAAACAAATCAATATATCCATTAACACATACCATATCTCCAGTGTGATGATTAAATATTTATAATCTTCCGGCGCACTTATAACAAAATCAAGATATTTATCGCCCGGCGATAATGATAAAAAATACCAGAACATTTATTAAAAAATAAAAAATGATATACGTAAGCCCCAATATTCATTAATAAATACATTCATTAATCTTTACTCTTTTAGATATTTTAAATTTTTAAGTTTTCTAGTAATAATTTATATCTTTGAATATTTTAAACGAGTTTGAAATACTGAAGAAATAAATATTTTCCTTTTTTTACTATTTCCAACCTTATTAAGTTACTTTGCATTTTCGTTACATAAACATGTTATTTGCAATAACATTAATAGGCATTTACGATTACACGTAACAAGAAATCGATTAATTTTGCAGGCAAACATCTTTTCCCGGGAAAAAGCATGTTTACTTTTTACGTTTTCAAATACTTTTAATCATAAAATATCGTATTATTATTTTTCCTCGAGCAAAACAACGGGGAGCAGAGTTTGAGGTTGTGCAGTGTTATTGATAGCTATCATCAATAGTGCATGAAGTTTAAGGTCATTTATAAGATAATTTCGCTGCCATTCGTAATAAAATGCATTAAGAGTGATAAATATAAACATTTGGGGCTCATACTTTTCTTTATTCGTTCGAATATTAGCGTAGAAAGATTATTAAAGGAGTAATACGTATAGAAAACATGAGAAGTACCGCAGTATGTCATGGAACATAGACATAACAGACATCCCACCAGGCCACATCCGGAAACGGTACGTAACTTGTTTATAAAAACTAACCTGGAATTGCCAGATAAGGAAGAGGTGTTCCGTGAAGACTTTCCGGTAAATGTTCCATCCAACAGTCCAGGGATCTGTATAATCCCTTATCGTCTTTAGTTTTACATTCCATGGCGATCAAAAGAGAAATTCTGCTCGCTTCGCGTCCTTCTTCGTTGATCGAAGGACGTCACGATGGCGCTGTTGTCGACCAGTTAAAAAAGGGCGACGTCCTCTAGAATGCAACAATTCAAATTATAGCGATTTTCATTATTTATAATGAATGTTTTTCTTTATTATAATTATTAGATTATAATAAAATTAATTTTTCCTTTAAAAACTTAATACTTTTTTATAAACGTGACGTGTCAATAAACAGTTTTTTTAAATTCATATTTAATGTTTTTTTTTGTATCGATGTCGATGAATTAATAAATATTTATTTTCTCGTAATTATCTGTTTAAATATTAATTTTGCTTTGGGAATAAACACTTTTTTCTTTGTAAATTCGTTTTTCATCTTTGAACCATAACTCTAAGATTTCTTCCTGGTTTTTGTTTTATTTTCCAACAGTATTTCCGGAACAATAGCGCAATGTTAACAATTACTTCCCAACCGATGGATCGCGTTCCCCCCGATCATCCCGAATCGTATGCTTGAGTAATAATGACGTGAACGAGACCGATAAAAGGTTGAGAATTTTTATCGCAAACAATATTTCAACGATAACAATTTTTTAATGAGTTTTTTTAATTAGTTTATGAATTATCGACGAAGGTTATCAATATAATAGCTCGAAAATTAATTTTTAATGAATGAGGAAGTGGTCATATTGTCAGCAACTTCGATTGTTAAAGCAGTTATATGGGTCACGATCGGTTTACAGTTCAATTGTTTCCTATTTATAACTTTATATTGTGTTTTTTTTATATATTATAAAAAATAATATAGAATTTTATGGATAATAACAGTAAAATATTTTAAGACAATAAGCTGTTTTCTCTTTTACTCTTGAATTAATTCCCAATGGAAATTTGCCAAAAAATTAGATAAGAGAATTAAAAAGATACGTTCGAAGAATGAATAAAACCAATTTAAAATAGTTTAAACGATGCAAAACTTGGTTAATTCGGTCACGAGAAACGGGACAATTAATCAATTTAGAGGATCATAAACTTAATTTTCTTCCTCTTGAAATTGTTTCGTTTAAAATAAAATAAAAGAATTTTAAGGAAAAAAATCGATTAGAAGTTATCGAGAGGAGACCGCATTTTACATTTATTCCTCGGAGAATGTTGTATATCGATCGTACGGAGATATTAATATGGTACTTTGCAATGAAGTGCTTGTTCTGTATATTTGGTTCTCTTTCGTGTTAAAAGCTCGCTTTTAAATCGCTAATAATAACGTTAATTTTAATTAATTTACGTTTTTTAAATTTAAATTTAAATAATTATAATATTTTCTTATTGTATATAAGATTTGTAGGTGCTAAAACAACGTTGAAAATCTGTTAAAATTGAAGTTACATCGCAGACTACGTGGATCAATTTAAAGCATTTACTCGATCGAAATGGGTGTTAATACGTTAGGAAAACACTTTTCTTGTGTAAATAATATATGAAGCGAGTTTAATGTAAAGATTCCATCTTTAAATGTAAATAATTAATAAAGAAATGCATCCATGTTGGTTCTACAAATGATTTTCTTATAGAGAAGAGAATCAAAAATCGATGAAGGGTTGAGTCAGTATTGATTGATGTACTGTATAAGCTAAGTGGAGAGACTTGTTAGGAACGAATAATCGTGTCGTTGCTGATCTGTCATTTATATATGTTATTTTTTTAAAACGAATTTTTAAATAATAAATTGAAGAAAACAAAAAAATTAATGTTTTTTTTTTTTTTAATTTTTGATTGAAGTTAACTTGGAAATAGGTCAGACTTTTTGAAATGTTATTCATTATAACATTGAGATAAACAACTTTATTAATCAAGTGTTTTGAGAAGAAAAAATAGCATTAGGCTACTTTAATTAAATAATATTTAAAAATTATATCTTTATTTTATTATAATTTATATTAAAGTTAAATTAGATTTAAATCATTTTCTATAATTATATTGTCTATATGCAGTACATAATATTCTTATATCAATTTATTGCTTAATCATTAAAATAAAATTTATAACTTAATTAAATATATATAATTGAAATGTCTTAATTAAAATGAAAATTAGATAAATTAATAAGAATTTTGAAGATTTTATTTTATTATTTTATTCATTTTTTTACTTTTACATATATCACATCTCTTAAAAACTCTCATACTCTTAAAAATCAATATAAATTGAAAGCACTTATTTTGATAACTTTCCTCTTATCTGTAATAAAAACAAGAAATCAAAAAAGATTATTCCATCATCCTTTTTGGAAAGTCTAGCTGATAAAATTCAGTTTTGTTCAATATTTATTTACAAAAAAATACATTTAAGAGAAGCTTTTAGTAGTTTCACAAATAAAATTCATTTTAGAATTTTATACTGAATTTTCTATTATCATTTTTATTAGGATAAAATCTTTATAAATAAGGATAAACAAGGTTACTGGTGATCAGGATATAGTCAATTGTATTAAATGTTTCACATGTACTTTCGAGGTCAAAGTTGTTTACATCGGACAATAAAGAAGCTAATCTAAGTAATATATTTACTATAACAATAATATACAGAAAGAAATTTTATTCGTGTAAACACTTTATATAGTTTAAATGGAAAGAATACATTTAAAAAAATACATAAATAAGTAAGAATATTAATTTTAATATTTTCATTTATCAGTTAAGCTTTTTCAGTGTTAATTAATATTTTGTGTAAAATAAANTAAATATAATCAAGTTTATATATATATATATATATACTGTATATACATATATACAGTATATATATGTATATACAGTATATATACATATATATATATATACTGTTATATATATATACCAGTAACTCTACAAACACCAAGATAGGAACTTTGGGAATGGATAAAAACATCAGGAGACACCAGAGCTTTCTCATTAAGAAACATCAGAGTTCCTCTCATCCTAAGGTCAGTCTGAAAAGATTGAAGTTATTTTTTGCAACTTGTTTTATCGGCGATTTCATGTTTTTCTCCTCTTAAATCCTTGTTTTCTGGAATTTTTATTTATATAAAGCAATATTAATTTTAGGCTATGTAAAATTTTCCTGATGCAAAGTATATATTTTGTTAGCTAACTATCAATCAAATATAGGGGAGATCGGGGCAAGATCGGCATGTTAAGCTTTACTTAAATTTTGTGTAATAAATACTGCTGTAAACTGAAAAAAAAGCTTTGCATATTGTCTATTGGAATGTTACCTTACTATAGAACTGGTTAAAATCAGTTTGGAAATAAAAATAATTAAAATAATTACAACTTTACAAGAAGAGAGAAATTGACGAAGTTGCCCCGGGTATAGGGGCAAGATCGGCAACTTCTCTCTTTTTGTAAAGTTGTAATTATTTTAATTATTTTTATTAAAGTTGCCCCTGGTATAGGGGCAACAGTAATGGGGCAAGATAGGCACGTATATAAAATTATGTTATTAACAATGTATAAGTTGGAATTCACTATTAAAACAAAGAAATACAAATCCAACACCCATTTAATATTATTACAACGAAATGCAAGTTCAAAGACATATATACATGAATAACAAATGCAAACATGTTTTCATTTATCATCTGTTTGATTTTTATCCTTTGCTTCTAATGTGGCTTTATGTTGCCGATCTTACCCCGCTAGTCATGATTTCGAAACATTAAGTACAACCCTGAGAACAGAATGCCAAGCCACGATCTGGCCACGTGAATAAGTTGAAGTTACATCCTTCTAACAGGAAAAGTAACTTTCGTTATCATGGAATTATAACAAAACCTGCCAATTCAATATAAATGGAAAAAAAATATTATATGGAATTGAACGAAAATGAAAATTTGCTTGATAATTCAACTACGCTTGTTGGAGAACAATAAAAACACTACAGTCAATAAGCCACCAATAAAACTCAACTGCCTAACCTATAACCAAAGTCTCCTTTTAATTTGTTTTTTAAAAAAAGCGCTTGACAAACTTGCCCCGCTTGTCGAAGTTGCCCCGATCTCCCCTATACTGTAATAATATATTATAATTTCTACTTAATTAACCATATTATTTTAAAGACAAATTAGAATTTGAGAATTTTCATGAAATTTTATAGAGATATTCTAAAATATCATGACTTAGATAAGAATATTTTATTCTAAATATATTTATCTCATTAAAAAGCACTAAAAAGGAAAAAAATTGGTGGAACCAAGTTGAAAAGTAAAGCTCATCGGAAACATCGAAATAAAGGAAACTTTTGAAAGTTGTGGCATTAGAATACCAGATTTGACAGTAAGACACGTAAATAAAATGCACGTTACACAGACTACAACTATAGGAAGTTTTGAATGAAGCAATGTCACCATGATAATAAATTAGGAAAACAAACATCGTCACAGAAAACGGCTTCAAGTTTTGCTTTGTATCTTAAAGTTCCTTCACTAATATTGCTCTAGGATGCCCTAATGTTCAGCTAAATTATTGTAGGTGCGATAACTTTAAGGCACAAAGTAAAATTCGAAGACTTTCCCTGCTTGTTTTCCTGATGTATCAATCATTGCAGGATAGATTATAAAATGTAAAATAGATATTTGACATAGATTTTATTTTCTGGCTTCAAAGTTCTGGAACCTCACGTTTTAACCATATCTAAAAATAATAAACATAATTAAAAACTTTCTAAAAATACTTTTTTGTAGGTTTTAAATAGACAGTAGATCTCGTTTTTACGACTAAATTGGTTCCCGGAAAACTTTAATGTTGTCGTTGTTAAGCAAGTCGTCATACTCAAACGCTTAATTTCTTACACTGTATCATAAATTCAATTTATACCACGCCGAAATGAAGAAAAAGAAGAATTATAATTATTATTTAAGTAATTGGATTGAAATTTGAAAAAAATTGTAAACCTAAAAATTTTCAATGTCGTCGGTCCGATGGTCTTTCCTTAATCTCGAGAACAGAGTTAGATAGATGATATACGAGATGAGCTATGAAAACCTTAAGTCAGGAGGCCCCGATTAACCGTATACGTACTTCCGATGTTAACCGGAAGTCACGTTATTT